CTTCTTGTCAGATACGGACATTTATGTCCGTGATATTTGTTGTCAGTTAGGTACAGGTGATGTTTGTTTGCTTATAATATTTCTTGTCAGATATAAGCATTTATGTTCATGATATTTGTTGTCCGTCAGTTACTAATCAGCTCTTGTTTATGATATCTTTATTAACAGACATAGACGTTTATGTATATGATGATCTAATTTTTTAGGGGATATGTATATACTTGCCGCCCATTCTCCAAAAAAGGAAATTTAAACAATGATTTCATGTCGATCTCATTGTTTAAATTTCCTTTTTGAGGAATGGGCGGCAAGTATAGATATGTACCAATGAAAGGTCACATGATAAACGTTGGAGTAGAACCAATGTGTTAGATTAATAATAATTACCAATATTGTTAAATAATAGTTGTTACCTTTTAATTAAACAATACTAGATTATTTATTGTAAATTTTTAAAAGACAATTTTATTATATCAATAATTAATAAAATAAAATCTATACAAATAGCAACAGTAAAGTTTCGCAAAAAAACTTTTTAATCAGATCCATCAAAACTACAAAAAAAAAAACAAAAAAAAAATAAATAACTATTAATCGATGTTATTGTTAAAAAGAAAAAAAAATGGAGAAATTTCATAAAATTATAGTAAATAAATTATGACTTTCTTCTGATCAATGTTTGTTTTTGATCTTTATAATATCGGACTACATCTAAATATAATACTTTGTCAGACATGTCACAGTACTTCTTATAAGCTTGCAAATTTTCAATGCTGTATTGGTCTAATTTCTGTAGTTTTAGTTTTCTATTAATTTTATGAAGTAAACTTTAGTTTATTTTTAAAAATTTCATTCCCTATTATTTCTTTTAAATCAAACTCTTTCTAAAGCTTTTTCAACTCATATATTTAATAACAAGTTAAAACGTCAATATATCTTTATTATCGACAATTTTTTCTTGGAGTTTCCATAATAATAAACAAAAAAGCATTAATTTCATGTTGGTCTTCTGTTAGAATTAAAAATTCAGAACTTTTTTAAAAGTAAAAAAATTTTTCTTTTTGTGGTTTTGGTTCCATAATAAGTAATTTTGTATCAATTAAAAACAAAGATTAGCTAATCATAATCAAATAGATTATTATTAAACACATGACTATTTTTTAATAATTTGCAAAAAATATAAATTATAAACAATTTGACACGTGTCTATATATCATATTGATATGAATAATTAATTTAATATGCAACAATACTTTGTGCAATTTGTGCATAATTTTATTGTAATATTTCCTTTTTGTTTACATCTAATTAAAAGCATAATAAATATTCTTTGCATTGTTTTAACTATTTAAAAAATTCATATTCGCGTATTAATGATAATATTTTGCAAATCACTGATCAGTTTGGCAAAAAATAAAAATTTTAATTTTTTTTTTTTTTTAGATAGTAACGATCATAGATTTAATCAACCAAACCTAAAAAATTTGTTGATCAACTCGTATTGTGTTTATATTCTAATTGTAATTTGATTTTGCTTATCATCAAAAAAAACTTGACGGACGTACAAAATGCTGTTTATATCAATATTTTGAATTTAAAAGAAAAATAAATAATAAAAATATATGTATTGAATAAAAAAAAAAAAAGAAGGAATTAAAAAGTTAACATGTAAATTTTTTTTCTTAATTTTATTATAATTTAAAATAATCAAAGAAATAAAAAATTCGTGAAAATTAAAGCATCATTATAAAAACGAAACCAAAAATTTTCATTTATTATTTTAATCTATAAAAAATTTTAATGTTGTATGCTGCTATCAAGTCCTATAATCTTATATTACTAACTTCTTTTATTATGATTAATAATATGACAAATGATTGTTCATATAGTTGTTAACAACCCACCTTGTTTTAATTATGACAATATTGCTACATAAAATGCTTGGATTGTAAACCAAAGTTATTCTATTGCTTAATTATTTTCATAATAAAATTAATTTATTTCATTATTCTATACATTTTGATAATTACCAGTTCAATTCATTCAATTTAAATGAAATTAAACTGTTACAATTACAGTATATGTGATGAACAAGATGTTAACAATTTGCCTAAAAAGTATACATTTATTTTAGTTATTTTAAATTACTCAAGTGAAAATAATTCAACTACTATTATAACTTTGATGGAAACTTGTTCAGAAAATAGTTACGATTTATGAAAATAGACTTGTAACTTGTTAATGATAGATCTATAATTTCAAAGGATTTTTTTTAAAAAATTGTGTATCTAGTCATATTATAATAATAAATTACAATTATTTATTAACTGAGAATTAACTATTTATTTATTATATTAAGTAACTAGGTAAATAGGAACTGTTGGAGCGTCTGTGTTATAATCACAAGATTATTTTTTATTGCTGCTCAAAACTCAATTGGTCAATACATAGCAGATATATCATTTTTTATCTTCTTTTAAAAATGATTAATAGAAAAGAAAAAGTAATCACAAAGGAATAGATACAAGAATTCCACCCAACAGCAATTATGAAAATATTGCTGGAAGTTTTGGAAGTTTTTCAGCAAGGTTAAGTGATATAGAAAAACCTCTTCAATAATTTATAGAACTATAACATTAATAACATGAAGGATGATATAAACATAAATAACTAATAATAATATATATTATAGTAAATATTAAGATATATTATCGTTATAAGCAAGTTAAATAACTGGTAAGCAAGCAAATACCATGGATGATTATAAGCAAGCCAAATAACTGAAAATATATGTCATAAACATAACAGATAAATGTCTAGTATGTCAGAAATATCATATGCAATTAATGATAACAAATAAAAGTCCGTATCTATCAAGAAGTATAATGAGCAACTGATGACAAATATCACAGACATCACCTGACAAGAAGCATCATGAGCAACAGACAACAAACGTCACGGGTATAAATGTCTGTATCTGTCAAGAGACATCATGAGCAACTGACAACAAATATCACGGACATAAATGTCCGTACTTGATATGAGACAAACATCACGGACATAAATGTCCGTACTTGATATGAGACAAACATCACGGACATAAATGTCCGTACTTGATATGAGACAAATATAACGGACATAAATGTCCGTACCTGATAAGTAGGATTATCGGATGTTGAATTTACTTACGAATGACTAATGTATGGGCACTTTATCCATGACATAGCATGCAAGTCAGGGTATATCACAGACATTAGTTGAAACCATGGGCGGACCATGAAGGATATAACCTAGGCACTTGAGACATGAAATGTAAGGTTAGAGCCTTTGTTGATCGGTCGGATGGGGTGGGGATTAGCTGGGTATACCGCGGATGGCGCGGATCGCCGGATCAACAGTATAATTATACATCTAATTTTCTTTCATTTCTTTTTATGAACTGGTAATTCTGCGTAATTTAGATGAATTGATATTTGATTGTACTTTTAATGGTAGTGATTATCGTTAACTTAATTTTTATCTTCTTATTAAAAGCAGCTTGCATGCTCGGAATTCAATTATACATTTTTATAACGTTTACATCATTTTATCATTAAACATTTTATGAATAAATCAAACTTCTCCTGCATCTTTAATAAGTTACGTTGAGGTTTTCAGATCAAAGTTTTTTTTTTTTAATATTAACATTTTATTAAATAATTTTTTTTCATTTCTTTAGGATTACCTACATGAAATAAATGTTGGACCATTTCAGTTATTTATTTTGAACCATCTCAGGAACAAGTTCTATGACCATTTAGGACCAGGCTCTGTATAAATCCAGTTAGTCTTTATCCTGGACAACATATATATTTCATTTTTTCTTAAAAGAAAAGAACCAAAATATATACGAAGAAATAAAAAATATATATATAGTGTATTTATAAGTTAAAAATTAATGATACTTTTTAATTTCAAAGTATTTATATTAATAATTACGCGTAAATTTTACAAAATGTATAATGCACAAAAAAGTAATGATTGTATTTTTTTTTTTAACGTTGGCATTATTTTATCATTAACTTTTTTTTTTTAAAACAAATCAAATTGCTGCGCTTTAGTCTTAGGATAAAAATAAGTTTAGTGGAGGTTGTTTGATTTTCTAGTTGTATTTTTTTATTAATATTAGCACTTATTATTAACTTTTTCATTTCTTTTCAGAAATCATTTACGTAAAAATAAATATTATAATATATTTATTTAAAATTAACTCAGACAAATCCTAAGAATGAGTGAATGTCAGGATAATTTAGGATCAGGCTCTGCTGTGGTTCTGGCTAGAGGACCAACAACATTCATAGTCATATATACATACAGTAAATATAATTTTTTTTTTTTTTAAAGCAAAGTTAAAATATACACGAATAATAAAAGTATTATTTATACATTGAATTTTATATTTGTAAGTTGAAGAACAAAGAAAGTTAACAATATTTAGTTACGTTTAATACAAAAAATGTATAGTCAGTTATATAAAAATACTAATTTTCTATTCTAATGAGTTTCCTTGAATAATTAATTTACAAAATAAATTCATTTACGTGAATATAATTATATTCCAAAATAAAGTTTGGGATAACATAAAAAATAAAATTAAAGTAAAATGAATCTAATGATTAAATGAAAAGAAAGAAATTTTTTATCCCATACTACTACGAGATTAATTTTTGTTAATTATGTTATATGATATGTTGATATATTTTGCGCTTTTAAATTAAATTATTCATTGTTATTTCCTTATTTTTTTTTAAAAAAAAGCAAAAAAAAATATGAATAAACCAGATTTATTATTTATTTTAATACGATTGCGAATGGTAGTACAGCGTAGTATAAGTAAATCATAAAATGAAAGATAAAACTATAACTAATGACCATTAACAACTATAACTAATTTAATAAAACCAGCTTCGCCCCGATTCCAGACAAGTTAAAGTAATACTCTAACTTAACCAAAGATTGGAGCCCAGTGCAGGAAACGAACCCGCGTTTCCATGGTCTTAAAAAACTGTAGGGTGTGGCGTTCAAGACAACTGAACTAACTGGGCTTAGGAATAATCAGCATCAAAGTCACGTGAACAAGACATCTTTCTGCGGTAATACAGAGTCTGACTTTTGCGCCACTAATATCTCATTACCATAAAATAAGATAATTAATATAATTAGCATGAGAAACTTTCATGTCAGTACTTTTGAGAGTAAAAGAGTTATCTATCATTTTATTCGGCTTTAACAAGAAAAGAAATACATGAAAAACTTTGTGCGACAAATTTAAATCATATCGAATTTTTTATTAAAACTAGGGTGGGATCATGAATCAAGTTGGCACTATTCTTTAGTAAATATTTTATTTATCATAATTATGCACTTAATTTATTTTTTGTTATGCTTCAAAAAAAAAATTCTGTTTACTGTACCTGTACTGATTAAGACACCCCAGATATAATATATTAATATAAAATACCTAGTTTAAGATTATATACCTGACCCGCGGGTATTTTGTGAGGTACAGGGGTATTACAGGTATTGGTATTTTGTAATACCATCATCTTTAATTTAGTAACCTGTCATATCGGTATATCCCATTGAAACTTAACAACTTATTCTTCCTCCAGAAGTAATGATAATGTACCGTAAAAAAAATTACATGATGTATTCCTTGAAGCTGAAGATGAACGGATACTAGCGAATGTAAATCAGAGGATAATTATTATGAAAAAAGAAGAGTGCAACGTACTCAAAGTTGGCATTGATATCGATTTTAGTACCCGGGTCTTAACCTAAGAAAAAATTTTTACATCTAATAAATATGCAGATCTTTTAACGTGGATATTCTTGAAGGAGTGAGCTCAAAGCAGTATATGCTTAGTCATGTGCGAATTTTGATTATCTAAACTGACAGTTATGTAACATAAATAAGACCTTGAGTTTTATGAACTGTTAACACATAACAGTTTTGAATTGGAAATCAAAGTCGGCTAGCATGATGATTCCGGTTGATAGCGAAATAACTGATATCTGGCTTAATGTCTATATCAAATATACTACCTGATACATTATATGAAACTCGAAACAAATTTGATTCAATATTTGCATCTGTAATAATTCCAATTGTTCCATTGTGAAGCCAGCAAATTAGACTTTGATTTGAAAGTTTTTCCAGTTAAAGTTCTGTCCATTGTCCATTTATAGTATCAATTAAATAAACGACCCTACGAAAAAAGAATGTCCGGAAAATGTCTACGAAAATGTCCGGAAATTGTCCAGGTGCTTCAAAAATTGTCATGAAAATGTCCAGGAAATTGATCTATTTTGCTGTCCGGAATTTTTTGCATGCCCAGTTTTTTTTATACATGAAATTTTCCGGACAAATTCTAGACAAATAAACCCAACAAATTCCGGACATAAAATATTCCGGACATATTCTGGACAAATAAACCCAACAAATTCCGGACATGAAATATTCCGGACATATTCTGGACAGGATAAACCAAACAAATTCCGGACATAAAATATTCCGGACATATTCTGGACAGGATAAACCAAACAAATTCCGGACATTTTAAATTTCAGACAAATTCTGGACAAAATAAACCAAACAAATTCCGGACATTTTAAATTCCAGACAAATTCTGGACAAATAAAACCAACAAATTCCGGACATAATAAAATTCCGGACAAATTCTAGACAATGTTTCTAAGAATATAAAATTTTAAATTTTAAAAAAATGCAAAAAGCACAAAACTGATATTTATAACCACCCCCTGACGTAATAAGTAAAATTGAAGAGCAGCCAAAAATGCTATCTATGATGTTAATTCAAACTTTGGTTAATCGTGTAGGAAGTGGTAAACTCCTGCTGATCATCTGGGATAAAATTGGATTGTTCAGAATTCTGGAAAATTCCGGACAAATTTGAACCCGGACATATTCCGAACATCCGGAAACGCGCACGTTTTGGAACATTTTCCGGATTTACCAAACGTCCGGAAATTGTCTGTTTATTTTTCCGGACAATTTCAGCATGAATTCCGGATGCATTTTTTTCGTAGGGCGAATAAATAAATTAAAGGTTTACAAATTATCACTAGTGTGTCAATCCGTTTACCATTTATCCGGATAATTATCAGATATCCGTTATCTGCCAGATATCCGTATCTGTTTTTTTAAACAGATCGGATAAAAGGATATCAGATATCCGCACGGATATCTACGGATTTATCTGATTATTCTCTGTAATCCGGATATCCGCCTAATATCCGATATATGTCACGTGACATGACATAAATTTCCAAAAAAAGAAAATTTTATACCTGCGAAAAAACAAGCATAGTTACACAAAATCCATAAAAGGTATCCGGCTCGCCGATCATTTATTCCGGCCGGAACTAGGTCGTAAAATAAACGGATAAATACGGATAATTAACGGATTTATCTGTAGATATCTGTTAAATATCCGGACAAATCTGATTATCCGTCACGGATAAACGGATGATAGATCTATCCGGATAGACACACTAATCGAACAGATATCCGGATAGATCTGATAAATCGACGGATACTCGGATAAATCCGACGGATATCCGGATGAATCCGGATTTTCTTTACGGATAGTCAGATGAGCTAAGCGGATTCGGATTCGGATAACGGATGACGGATATCATCCGGATTGACACACTAATTATCACCAAAATATCATTATGAGAAGGTTCCTCGTTATGAGCAAATTTTTCTGTTTATCTAACTACGTTACCATATGTAAAATCTGGAATCCATTTTGGAATTGATAGATTTTTTGGAAAAGAGGCAATTATTTTCATGTTCATTGTTATATTATCTTACTTTTCTCATAACTACAATATCTTCTTATATGATAAAATTATTGCTCTCTCATTCCGTGACTGAGTAAATAATGCAAATTAAGGTGAGTTTTGGTGACATAGTATTTATTTATTATTTATTTTAATTATTTATATAAGAAAGAGTTTATTTATGTAAGAAACAGATAATTTAATGTTTTTTATTTAATTTCTTTTTTTTTTTCTTTTTGAAAAAAGGTATCTTATTTATAAAATATTTTTTTCTTTATTAACATTTTTTTATAAAATAAATTGTATGAATGTTATTAAATTAAAAAGTGAAATTAACATTACATAATAAAGTCTTTTTTATAATAATTGCAAATATTTATATATTATTCGTCCAAATTTTTTTTATTGTCCGAAACATTTTACCGTTTTTACGTTCAATACTGATCTGCATGTATCAGATATGGTATCAATGATCTGCACATTACGGTAATACAAGTAAAATATTTCAATTTTTTCCGTATAGTTTAAATGATTCGATGATTCGAAAGTAACGACTGGTTTTTTAATTTTTAAATTAGGTCCATATTAAAAAAATTTTTCCCATTAAGGGTAGAATTTGCTGATAAGAATCTTTGAAATTGCATTTTTCATTGCATATCTCTATATATAAAAATATATTTCATTTCAATGTACCCATAGAATATTCATCAACTTCACCAGAAGGCGTCACAAATTAAACCGAAAAATTGTTTGCAATAATAAATTTAAATAACTTAAATAGATATTCATTATTATGCAATTAATATAATATATGTATTTCAATATACCAATTAATTATGATCAATAAAATGCGTAACACTTAATACACTAATATATATATATAAGCTGTGAGAGATTCAAAGTCATGCAGCCCGCTTTGGATCTTCTAACGGTCTCCATCACTAGTGTATTTATTGTATACATATTAAATGTTTCAACTTTAAAAATGGAAAACTTGATTACATGGTGATCGGCATTTACCGAAATCATCTGTTCACATTTCACATAGTGGTAAATAAAAAAAATGATAGTAAATAAAGGTAATTAAGGAAGGTAATTAAGTAATTAAATAAAATAAAATAATATTTCTATAGTAATTTCATAGTAATTTTTGTCTATCATAAGTAGTATCATTTTACCAGATCATTTTCATCATTTTTACTATATCGTTCTTTTTATAATTTTTCATTTTTTTTCTTTTTCTGTTATATATTAACCACCATCCATAAAAGAAGCTGATTGCGGATCCAGTACTTGAAGCTTGAAGCTAAGCTTAGTTTAAACCATATTTGGGTATCAACCTAACCATATATTGAATTTCATGGTTAGTATGATCGTCAAATTAATTAAGACAATACTACAATTAAAGTTAGAAATATTGCACAGGATTTTCAGCACCAAGCGAAAAATAATGTAATTAAGCATTGCAATATCAAGCAAAAAAAATGACCTTATCTTATCAGATTTAGGCATAAATAAGAGTTATTAGTCAAAATGATATCGCTATTATATTTATTAGTTGATTTAAAATTGATTCTTAATTTAATTTTCTTTTTTTTTTGTCTTTTTATATCATCATTCTTTCACTCCTAATTTTATATTTTTATTTCAACATTTTGTAACCATCTCGTGGATATCATCGTGTATGTGGAAGAAGGAAGAGAGGATAATCCCATCATAAGAAATTAAAGTATGCATGATTACTGTAATGTTTTTATGTTATTGTCTGCAAACTTGCTCTCGTACTATCGGAAGAATTAAATAAATATTCAAAAATTAAATTATTTTTTTTTTTTATAGACGGCAATAAATCTGCGTATGGATAAATCAAATTTTATATTTTGATCTTCATTTATTCACTTGCATTTGAATTTTTTTTTCTCGCCCTTTATTATTGCTATTTATTTTTACTACCTTTACTGATTAATTTTCTTAAATTTATATTCATTCTTTATCTTTCAAATCTTTTGGACATGACAAAAATTAAAGGTTAAAAATAGTTGATCTTTCACAATGCCAATTATAGCAATTTAAAATTTATTTCAAGAGCGTTCAATTTATTTTTATTTTATTTTTACAATATTAAAGATAGTTTACAATCAGCAACTTTTAAACAATAACAGAATGTAGAATTAATATCATGAAAGAAATTTTCCTAGATTTCAAAAAGTTTTAAGTTAAATATAACGCTATTTGG